TGTTGTTGTTGTTTAGTCGTTAAGTCGTGTCCGACTCTTCGTGACCCCATGAACCATATTGCGCCAGGCCTTCCTGTCCTTCACTGCCTCCCTGAGTTTGCTCAGTTTCATTTTCATTTTATTAGTTCTTGTTCAATCCCAATTACCAAGTTTAAGAACTGATTCCCCATTACCTAAATCCAATGAGTGGAAAATGAAAGCTTTTCACTGTGCGTCCTCCACATACTAATGACACCTTAGACTAAATCTATTTCAAGCTTTGCAAAATCAAAATTCCAGCTGACATCAAAGCCTTCATCTGCACACACTTCAGTTGTACTTCTCTCCCATATTAGTTCTTTAAAGACTAACACAAACAAAGTTAGTTATTTCAGCTTTAATGATACAAGGAACAGGAAACAAAATGATTGTCCACTCTTTTAATTCACTGTTGTAACTGTAAACTGATAATTCTGTTTTTGAAACATCACTTCTGATTTATTTCCAATAACAGTTACAGTTTTGCCAACAAAATCAAGCTCAGGCTTTTTACTTCTACAGCTAGTGTAATATAGAATAAAAACATCTTGTTTTCTGATATATTTGTTTAAATTCAGTAAGGAAGAACACAGTTGGCTTGTAAGTTTGTAATGGTTCAAAGGTGCCTAAAGAAAAAAAAAGTGATTCTTTTGTAAGTAAACAGGATAGAAGAGCCTTGAGCACAGGTGTTGACACATGTGAAAAAGGGGCAAGGCTTCAACTGTGACATTGCAGCCTCCATTATAATTTTTCATCCCCCTCTCTGCACCTCAGTGTCCCTTAGGTTTAAAGATACTGTGGGAGCCATTAACCATACATGTGCTGCTTTTAAATAACTTTTTAAACATTAAAATATGAAGTGATACCTATAATGACATGTTTACAGGATAAAACCTGCATACAGGCAGTCCTTGTTTAGTGACTGCCTTGTTTAGCAACCATTTGCAGTTACAATGTTGATGAAAAATTAACTTTGTGACCAGTCCTTTGCAGGTCTGTAAAACAAAGGAAAACTGAAGTAAAATCATAAGCACATTCATGGCTTCACTTAGCAACTGCTTCACTTAATTATCAAGCTCCCAATTGTGGTCACTAAAAGAGGATTACCTGTATAATATCTTGGAAAAACCCAGTTCAAACAAGGGAAGTTTGCAGGGTGTCGCTGGCTACAAAAATGAAATTTGGAGACTTAGAAAGACTATCAAAGAAAAATGGCTGTGAGGGAAGGGGCTTAGTACAAGCTACCTTTGTCCAAAATAGCTTGATTTGGCCCTATGCAAGGATGGGTGAATGGTTGGTTGGGGAAAGGGGAAAAAGAATTTGAGGAAAGCTGTTTTACTTATCTTTTTAAAAAAAGCATCCAAGTGTGTGCGCCCTCACTTTCTCAACAGGTGTGTTTGAAGTTTAAAAACTGACATGGTAAGTGGCACAGCTCACCCCAAATCACCATCACCATTTAAATTTATATACCACCCAACTCCCAGTGACTCTGGGAATCATCTGTGGATCTTTTTTTCTCCTTCCCACTAGTTGAAAGCTCCCTCCCAATTATGAAATAGATCCATTTCACCTGGACCATTTAAAAATAAAGCATAGCCCATGGGTTGTGTATTTTGCATACCAAATATATTGTAAAAAATCTTCATTTCAACTTATTTGCAGGTGCAGATAACTAACCCACCTTATAACTAAATGAAATCCTATACTGCATGACATTTCATTAATCTGGTAAATTAAGGATATTTACATTGTAATATCCCATTGTAGCTGATTATTTTGCTCCAACATTAGCTCCACCCACCAAAAATCCAAGAAGAAGAAACAACTAATTTATTCAAAGACATTATTTGCCAACTGAAGTCTCTGAAGCTAATCTGAGTATCTATTTTTTCTCTCAAGGCATTAACTGCAAACACCAATAATATTCGTAAATAGATTACTCAGACTAGAAACCTTCTCTTGATTAATTGAAATCCCAATAAATGGTGATGTTTGCTAGTCACAGCAGTTTGAATAATTGTGTAACTTTTTTGGAATCTTAATTACATGAGAATTGAAAATATTTCTGCTCAGACTTGGAAAGTGTATGGAAGAAAATTAAAGATCTACTTACACTGACTGCTAACTTTTTAACTGAAATTGAGTATGTTGATGAGTATTTACTCATCATACAAAGATTAGGGGCTAGGACCGATCAGTTACTGCATGCTACTACAAGAGATGGGATTCTGCATAGATCTGTACAAGAATCAACAAAATCTCAATCCTAAGAAGAAAATATCCATCTTCCCTGAATTTACAAAAGAAGTGGAACAAGTCAGAAAAGTTTCAATACAACACACGCTCAAGCTAAATTCTTAGAGCTGCACTATTTCATGCATTCCACTGTGGCTTCTGTTTTTCTATGTCTAATTCTGTCAGTAGGCAATGAAGTAATATCATCACCATGACCATCATTATCATTTTCACCATTTAAAAATATTTTTTCCGCTATACGTGTCTGTTCTTTTATTTATTTACTGCTTAGCAACCACTGCTTCATTGTTTTGGTTGCAGTAGTTATCTGTTGTCGGGGTGCACTTCCAGGTCATGTTTTGCCTGAATTCTTTTTTCCTTCTTCATTCTCTCTCCCCCTTCTTAAAGTTCTTTTGGTAAGGTGATGTATTTGTTTTTCTTTGTTTAAGACAACTGCTACATTATCCTTTTGTAGTAGAGAAAATGAGCCAGAAAGTCATGTTCTTTTGACTTATTTTCTTTTTTTCTTCTTCTTGTGTTATCTTGCATTGTCTCTTTATTTTTGTCTTGACATTCAAAGTGCTGCACATCCCTAGTAGATATTTGTTTCAATTCAATTCAGTTCAGATGCTGCCCTACTCCAAATCAATTCTGGGTGGTTCACAGCATAAAACATACAATCAGAATAAAACAAGAAACAAGACTGTGAATCCAGTCAACCACAGCACCAGATATCATACTCAACAAGGGTCTCCGACCAGCCTAACCCAAGGCTGGGAGAAGAGCCAGATATTTAAGACCTTCCAGAATACCAGCATGGTGGGAGAGGACAACTTATACTACAGAATACTAAACTGAAAAAAACAGAGAAAAGATGCAAAATATTTTAGCGGAGATATAAGTAAAAGAAGATGAAAAGGAACAAATGTTCAATATGGAAACAATTTTCTATATTGACAGTTAAAGAAATAGAAATAAAAATGAACTTTGCTAAACACAACAAGTTTGATTTAGCAAATAAGTCAGGGAAATGGTTAGCATATAAACTGAGGAAAGAAAGTGGAAAAATTATATTAAAATTACAAAAAGGCAATGCTATGATAACAGATAATGCAAATATGCAAAGGATCTTTCAACAATTTTACACAAAGCTATATGATAGATTTCAAATGAGAAAATAGATGAATCCTTAAAGAAATCAAAGCTACCAAAAATAATGGAGAAACAAAAGCAGATGATGAATGGACCTATAATAATAAAAGTGTACAAGGCAATAAAAAAGACAAAATAGGGAAAGCACCAGGACCAGATGGGCTACCTACATCTTATTATAAATGCCTTGAAGATGAACTGATACAACCTTTGCAAAAAATGATAAACTCTATTTTGGAAAAGGGATTGATGGCAATTTTCAAATTTTGCTTTAATTCATAAAGAAGGACAGGACTCTACTTTACCAAAAAATTATCAACCAGTTTCTTTAATGAACAATAACTATAAAACATTCACTATGGTTTTAGCTGAAAGAATGAAATATATTTTGCAAGACTTTATACATGAAGATCAATATTTGTAAAATATTGTGTGTTTTGTGTAAATATTGCTTTTTGTGTAAAAGACAGTTGAGGGACAATATAAGAAATATCCCCTTCATGGATCACTGCCTTGTTGTGGTGAAGGGGCTTGCGTAACTCAGTGAAGCCATGAGCTATACCGTGCAGGGCCACCCAAGACGGACAGGTCATGACAGAGAGTTCTGACAAAATGTG